GCTTCCGTACTGTTTGATTTATCTACTGTGGGATTACTATTCGACAAGGCCTCACATACGAACGAGCATAACTCACACACGCGTATTCTTGTGTATGATGGAAAAAAATAAAGAAAATGGTGTACTAAATATTATTCATGATAATTCATGCTTAATCATGTATTTCCTCCGCCATTTTTTGAAGTCAGCCCTATGGCTTCGGCGCAGTACCGATCACTGACGTTTGTCAACAAAATGGTGCTCGACTCTTGAGACAAGCTAAATTACACCATATTGTTAATGACATTGAGCATATTTTTTTTTAAATAGGTACCTTCGTGAAGAAAACCTTCTGTACGTAGTACTTATTATTATTCTGTGCTGTTACCTTAACATTCTGGAAAGTGTCCTGCATCACAGCCAGGTCTATGCGCTCCCCGCGTTGCACCTTCAGCCCGCCTTGCAGCAGGGCCAGCAGGCTGCCCGGGTAAAGTCCGGGCGCCGAGCACGTAGAATTTCGTCCAATGACGCCAAGCTACCCATCCTTATCGCTCGCACGTAATTATATTGCTGTCGCGACTGTGCGACGGGCGGCCTCAGTGAGTGTCCGAGCGCGACAGCAATATAATTACGCGCTAGCGATAAGGATGGGTAGCTTGGGGTCATTGGACGAAATTATACGTGCTCGGCGTACTTTAGACTTTAGGTTCCGTTGTGCAGCAGACGGATGCCCGTCTTCCATAGCACGTAGAGCTCTTATGAATAGTGCTGTTACCTTAACATTCTGCAAAGTGTCCTGCATCACGGCGAGGTCTATGCGCTCCCCGCGTTGCACCTTCAGCCCGCCTTGCAGCAGGGCCAGTAGGCTGCCCGGGTAGGTCCCGTTGTTCGGCAGACGGATGCCCGTCTTATAAATATTATAAATAGTACTGTTACCAAGCCTGTTCATCTCCGCGAGTTTGCATCGAAAACAAAACGCGCGCGACTACACCTCCTTAGATATCTAATCGACAGGACAATTACGAGCCAGCATTGACGCACGCACGTGTATTCTTCACCCAATTGCATTGTAAAGACAAACTAATATAAAACGGTGGTGTAATTAATACTGTGCAGTATTTTAACTGCCTGAATATTAATAGAAACACAAAATATAATTCATGCTTCAATTCATGTATTTCCTCCGCCATTTTCCGCAGTTAGGCACCTTACGTCACACATCATTTTACCGAAGTCAGCCTTATGGCTTCGGCGCAGAACCGATCACTGACGTTTGTCAACAAAATGGTGCTCGACTCTTGAGACAAGCTAAACTACACCATATTGTTAATGACATTGAGCATACATTTTTTTAAATACCTTCGCGAAAAAAATGTTCTGTACGTAGTACTTATTATTATTCTGTGCTGTTACCTTAACATTCTGCAAAGTGTCCTGCATTACGGCGAGGTCTATGCGTTCCCCGCGTTGCACCTTCAGCCCGCCTTGCAGCAGGGCCAGCAGACTGCCCGGGTAGGTCCCGTTGTTCGGTAGACGGATGCCCGTCTTCCATAGCACGTAGAGTTCCTTGAGCTTGTCGTAGGATAGTGTCTTCCATGGGAGCGCAGCTGGAAGTGGTATGAGTTATGTTAGTGAATGGAAGTAAATAATTTAGGTTTAAATGTTTATTAAATTACCTACTACATTTTCTAAGCATCAAGTTAGCCTAGGCGCAGACCACTAACTTTTTATCGGCCGATAGTTTAGTCGGGCAGTTAATCAATATGGGCATGTATGGAAGTGCGCACATTGCACCAATTTGATTTTCATACAAATTAAAATCGGGTCCAACTATCGGCAGACTAAAAGTCGGTGGTCAGCGCCTAGGCTTACACAAAGATAAAATTGAATAATATGTCCGGCTATGGGCATCTTATTTAACTTCTGGACCTGCTGAACGAAATATATGTCATCTTCAAATAGAGAAGCGAGGAATGGAAAGCACGTCACTCCGGGAGCACGCGTGAACAAAGCGTTCCTCGTCTGGCTCGAATAGTTCCGGCGCCTGCCAGCGGTAGTGCTCAGAGTTCCGATTCATCAGTAGTCCGGAGAGCTAGGAGAGAGACTCACCGTTGCAGCACTCCCAAATTATAAGCGCGAGCGAGTACACATCACTACGGGAGCACGCGTAAGAGTAGGCGCACACCGTTGATTTTTAGTTGCCCGATAGTTGTGCCCGATTTTAAATTGTATGAAGAATCGGCCAAATCGAATCGGCGTAGTGTGCGCACACCCATACATGCCCATACTGATCAACTGCCCGACTAAACTATCGGCCGACGAAAAATCAACGGTGTGCGCCTATACTAAACAAAGCCTTCCTCATCAGGCTCGAATAGTTCCGGCGCCTGCCAGCGGTAGTGCTCAGAGTTCCGATTCATCAGTAGTCCTAAGAGCTAGGAGAGAGACTCACCGTTGCAGCACTCCCAAAGTATAAGCGCGAGCGAGTACACATCACTGCGAGAACACGCGTGAACAAAGCCCTCTTCATCTGGTTCGAATAGTTCTGGCGCCTGCCAGCGGTAGTGCTCAGAGTTCCGATTCATCAGTAGTCCTAAGAGCTAGGAGACTCACCATTGCAGCACTCCCACAGTATAAGCGCGAGCGATTACACATCACTTCGGGAACACGCGTGAACAAATCCTTCTTCATCTGGCTCAAATAGTTCTGGCGCCTGCCAGCGGTAGTGCTCAGAGTTCCGGCACGTCAGTAGTCCTAAGAGCTAGGAGAGAGACTCACCGTTGCAACACTCCCAAAGTATAAGCGCGAGCGAGTACACATCACTGCGAGAACACGCGTGAACAAAGCCCTCTTCATCTGGTTCGAATAGTTCCGGCGCTTGCCAGCGGTAGTGCTCAGAGTTCCGTCACGTCAGTAGTCCTAGAGATAGGAGACTCACCGTTGCAGCACTCCCACAGTATAAGCGCGAGCGAGTACACATCACTGCGAGAACACGCATGTACGAAGCCCTCCTCATCTGGCTCAAATAGTTCTGGCGCCTGCCAGCGGTAGTGCTCAGAGTTCCGGCACGTCAGGTAGTCCTTTGACACCGCGTGGGAGGTCAGGTACGCCTCTGACGAACGCTCCGATATGAGAGGCTCGCATTCCGCGCTGTTGGTTTCGCGCGTATCTGTACGAAATGTAAGAAGTTTAGGCATTTTTTCAGGTCGTAAAATTTTTGTGAACTTATAACAAGTACAACATTGCAGGCTTTATAATTTAATCAACTTGATTTTGTTGAGTTTTGATGATTTCGTGCTTCAAAGAACACAATTTATTCACAATTTGGGAGGCTTTAGTCGACAGGTATATTCAAATCAAAGGACATGTCATCAAGCAGTAGCTTCTTCTTCTTGGGACTATTAACCACGAACCCAAGGAAATAGCAAATACGAGTATCTTTGTTCTGCTTCTAGTTCTGACTAACCTTCAATAGTAGCATACTGCGGCTCCGGCGAGTAAATCTCGTATCCCTTATCTCGCCTCTCCCTAGCTTTGGGCAGTTTCAGGCACGGACTAAGGTCGGCCAGTTTGGCCGCGTCATGGCCAGTTATCATGATGCTGTGGCTGCTTAACTCGCTGTGCACGTATCCTTGCATACGAAGGAAGACCAGAGCATTCGCGATGTCCAGAGCGTAGCGCACCGATATTTGGGCGGTTAGAATCCGGCCCTGGGTAAAAACAAAAGAGCTTTCGCAGTAGATAAAAGGTACAAGGTAAATGCTACTTACGGTAGGTAGGCTAAGTTCGATATTGCAATGAAATTGTGAATGAAAACAACGGTTGCGTGGAACAATTAGCTTTTTAGTACCACTAAGGTGCAAATCGGATGTGCATTCAATAGACGCGCGAAAGTATGCTAATATGGGGCAAATACGTTTTACTAGCGTAGGAAGAACTAATCATGGTAGTTAGTGTTACTCTCAACTCGTAGTATTTATTTACAACTATAAAAACAAGCATGTGGATATTATGTAATTAGTTTCGCTAAATATAGGATTTCTGGCATTCAAGCGCCGTTCGCCGATGCTTTTTGCTCTTTTTTTACTAAGCGTATGGTAATAGCTGACTAACAATCGATTTCATACATGTTTGATCTCAGAAAAAGTTTTTGTATCCTTAGTCTTTAATTAAGCTCTAGGGCACAACTACAATTTTATGTATGTAAATTTTCTGGAATTTATGTTACCATATTAGGAATGTTTTTGCGTTATTATGACGGAAAGACTGACAGAATATGCAAAGTGAATGATTTTTTTACTTAGTAAAAACTAACAATGTATAGTTTAGAGTTCAACCTTTCATACTAAGCTAAGGCAATACAAATATCGTGGGAATGTAAATGAAACAATTAATCATTGTAATTATTTTGAAGTATGGGAATCTGGAATTATTATTAAACTTCACTTACCTTGGCTCTTAGGTTTGCTAAAGTTTAAACAGATTAAATTAGCATTCAGTATTAATAATTTTAAAGTTGTTACAAAATAAACTAATCGAGACCAAACCGAGAGAGAAAACAAAGATACCACTGTATATTTTTGAGATATTATATTCAGACATTTACAGAATAAGTATAAAAGTTCTTCTGAACTTCTGATCGCAGAAAAAGCTTTCATTGGTATATCATCATAAAAATTGTGGACGATAAAGTCATAAGAACAAAGTCGAAAATGCATTAAACTCACCTGCACGTGTATTATGCCATACAATGTATCGACGCAGCGCTCGCAAACGATATGCACGTTATTGTGCACGTCGGGATACAGCCCCATTAGCAGGATGATGTTAGGATGGCGACATTTTCTGCAAAAAAAAAGAGAAGAACTGATTAACTGCCTCTCTATGTTCTAGTGGTAAAATCATTATCATCGTTTTCAGAATCAAAAATCGTTTATTTGCAAGTAGATCACTTTTACTCGTCCCAACCCTACCACTGCTTCGAGACAGTAATATTATGGGCCAGTGCTGAGAAGAAGCAGCGCAAGAAACACTGTCATTATTTCAGCCACAGAACATCCACTGCTGAACAAGGCCTCCCCCAATGATTTCCATTTCCACGTCTCACGCTGCGCTTGCCGTGGCCTCTATTCCAGAACTATCCCCAGTGTGGTTTTAAGCAAAAAGATTAAAGCATTGAAAGATTTGTATTTTTTTAACAGCTACTACTTACTTGTTATAGGTACGAAACTTGAGTCGAGAAACTAAGAATTTGATCGAAAATGCTGTCATCTAACTGCTTTAACAAGTGAAAACATTGATATCATTCAATCACAGCGCCATGGAGAGTGCATTTATAAATCACTCAATTCATTAATTCAGTTTCGAATGACATCTCGCTAAAGAAACAATAAAGAACGCCATTTCTAAGGAGAAAACATTTTCTAAACCAATTACGGTACTTGAGACACTATTGAAGAAGTAACAACAACCAAACTAATAAATGTGTATTAAACTTTTGATAAAATAAAACTAGCACAATCATAGGCTATGGTTAGAAACGTAGTAGTTGTCTTCACATAACTTAGATTATAAATAACCACTTTTTTGGAGTTGGTTAAAAAAGTAAATCCTGTTCCCGTATGTTTTAAACTTTCATGGTCACTAACAGAATAATTATTATTGACGGCATTGATACCATGTACCATGCAACAGTGCCGAAATATCAGAGGCTCGTAAATAAGGTGCATGGTAGCAATCCCGTCAATAATAATTATCCTGTTCCCGTAGTAACTCGATTTTCCACCATTAGGGACTTATAAAATTAAAACTAATAAAGTAAAAAAAAAATCGAATTATTTAGGGTTCCTGATGGAGAAAAGCTTTAAAACATACCTCAATATGTTTATCTCCGTGTTCCGTTTCCTCCTGACATGCTCGCCGGTGACACCGGGCATCCTCTTGATTTGCACCGGGACCACGCCCCAGCGGCCGTGGTTCCACACCTTACTTCTGTCTGAGCTCACGTCTAGGTTGCTTGCGCTCGCGATCGGCAGCCCCAATGCGCTTGTGTCACTCTATGAAGGAACACATCTTCAAATATATAAAAGCGAAAGGCCACTGACTGACTCATCACGAAATCTCAGAAACTACAAGTGCTAGGAGTCTCAAAATTTTGCATGGGGGTTCCTTTTAGAAAGTAAGTGCTCACTAAGACGGGATTTTGCAAATTTCAACCCCTAAGGAGGTAAAACGGGATCCAAGCGTACGACGCGGGCGGCCGCTAGTCTTAAAATACAACATAGTAAAGCATAAAAACGGGACTATTTCCACCTCTCGTTCCCACCACTGCAACGGTCCAGGATCTACAGCTTGAACGCCAATAAAAACCCAACCAGTGAAGGTCAAGTTTGTCCCGGGGGAAGTTAAACTGTCATTGGAACCGCAACGTAGTAAAGCAAAGTAAAATAAAAATTTGCCAAGTGCGTGTCATGCCACGCGCAGTGTAGGGTTCCGTAGTTGTCCGTCGTTAACACAATATATTTCAGAAGCAAGCAATTACTTCATCTAAAGTCACTTTTAATATTTTTGCACCACTTTTATTAGAAGTCTGATTTGTTTTTGTTCCACAGCTGGACATCCTTTCCCCAACTCACACCAGTAACGTCTATCTAAGGCTAGGATCTGCCAGGCAAATTTATTTTTAAAGTTACTGGACAATTTGACCATTACATAACTGATTAGAAAGTGAGATTTACCGAAGACAATGTCACTCACTGACTAAACTGTGATCTATAAGTTACGTAAACAAAGGAACAAATTATGAAATCTTAACCCCATATTAATTATGATACTTACTTTGCTGTCTTCAGACTTGGTCGTATTCGGCGACCGGGGCTGCAGTTGCTCGTCTGCCCACTGATCTAAGTTCTTCAGCTCGCTCATCACCTCCCAAAGCTTATCTTCCCCGCTGTCATTGTTAACGCCGTTTGATGATAACTGACTAGATATCTTCACGTCTCCCCCCGACTTCGCACCGTCTACTTCCTCCACATCACTTCTAGTACCATCCAAAAAGTTCCTCAGGTCGAAAGGCAAGGAACTCTTTTTGCAGAATTCTGGAGAATCCACGCGATCTTCGTCTTTAAAATCTATATGCCTTTGGGCTTGGAATTCAGGATCTGGCGGCCTGTAGCATCTTTGCCGAGAATTTCGCCGCGATTTGTGTGGTTCGGAGTAAGTAGACGTCGCCAGCATATTTCCGGGCATAAAAACTTGATTTTGGAACAGAAATTGTATGTTTGGGAGGCCGTCGTAAATCTTCTCTTCCGACATGGCGCTTCTGATTCGTTTGTGGGTTTTCTTCTTGTATTTGACGGCGGATTTCTTCTCGTAGTTGAATGTGTTATCGTGTTCTGCGCAGTCTGTGCAGGAGACCGGTAGCGAGTGGCGGCCGCATTTCTTCTTAGAGGGTGTGACTTGTAGGTCTTTGCTTCCCGCGGACCTCCTCGCTTGGAACTCTGCCAAGTCCCGCTTGTACTCCTCGGTGCGTATGGTGCCCACCTGCGAGGCACTCTTTGGGCATTGTTCTTCTGGAGTCGTGGGCTCGGGACTCACGTGACGAGTGGTCACCGTTACACGTTCCCTGCAAAAGTGTTTGGTGTTATAATCGATCATCATCCGGTTAGATTAACTCCGGTTTTTTCGCTTCCAATAATTTGGATCGCGTCGAGGCATAAAGCGTGGAAATGTCGCGGGTCAAGAGAGACGTGATCTACTTGGCCAATGGACTTTTATTGTACCAGTCATGTAAACGAATGGATTTGTCATGTTGGAACGTATTGTCGTTTCGGGGAAAACATAAGTTTTCAAGGACTTGTCGACATTTGGAAGGTGTAATTTATTAAAAGTAACTACCTTACTACTTACAGCATTCTTATTTAAAATTGTACATTTAGGCAATTATAAATGTTTCTTAAAATGTATTCTCTACCGCGTTTCTCAGACAACGATATTGAAAGAAATCTATGTATTAAAAAGTAAAAGGCAATTTTAATTACGATGAATGCTACGATCATTTCTTCTAGTTTATTTAAAATCTTTCGTAAGCCGATACAGAGCAGAGCATATATTATATTTATTCTTTTTTAACAACTTTATGTAGACGCGGTGCATCAAGGTATCGTAATGTTGTTGAATTAGGTTCTGTTTTGCTACAATACGAACTGCATACACACAAACATAATAACAAATGAGTAAACTAACAAGCTGGTTACTTTATCTTTATTGCATATCTGAAACCGGTTTAATTTGATATCAGTAATTTCATGTTATCGGTAAAAACAAAAGCAGGACGCACCAATCCTACGATGTACCTACTTCAGATTATTTGTAAAGACAAGAAGGCATAAAAGACTAAAAGAACTCTAGAATTTAACAACTAGGTAAATGAATAGAGTTTATGTGAGAAACTGATCAACTGATCACAAAGTATTGATACATGGCCTGGAAATAATTAACCTGAAGATAACTATCAGTTAACTCATCAAAGAAACCCCAGGGAGTTTTGAGCTGACGCTGTGTAGGTTTGTTGTCGACACGACAAGAAGAATGGCACCGACTGATATATAACATTTTGAATAAAAACATGAAGATGGTCTTATTAGATAAGTGTCTGGAAGAACAAAAATCTCTTCAAAGAGATGCTATTAAAATAATCCCACCAAAAACATTCTGTAAAAAACTAGCCAAGTCTCGATGGAGCTGCTTGTTTATCTCTAAAAAGTAATGAAATCTAGACAAAGTCGTGCCAAGTCTATGGTTCCTTACTGCGATTTCTTTATTATTATAGTTAATGTTGTGTGACTTGGCCGTTGAACAATCTTTATTAAGATAATCATACATTATAAATACGCAGCTTTACTGAACCTACAATTGACTGGTTATTGTTGAATCAACGTTTTCCAAGTGGCAATTTTCCATCGTCAATGGGTAGCGGTTCTGGCGACAGATTGGTGCAATGGTGTCATGGAGCACCTGGTTTTGTCACCCTTCAACGGCCAAGTCACACAACATTAACTATAATAATAAAGAAATCGCAGTAAGGAACCATAGACTTGGCACGACTTTGTCTAGATTTCATTACTTTTTAGAGATAAACAAGCAGCTCCATCGAGACTTGGCTAGTTTTTTACAGAATGTTTTTGGTGGGATTTCACTTCTTTTTGTAGAAAGTGGCAAAATTATTTAACGTCGTCGTTTTATCGACATTTTTTTACGATATTAAACACAAATAAACTCAACGACCTTTAAAATGGACAACGAATCAGAATTGTTTTAATAACATAACCTAAGCGAACCTTACAGTATAATAAACGAAATCAACGAAATGCAAATTACACAACATTCAACTTAATCGACGACTTTCTCCAGAAAGGAAAAAAATCTGGACACCGCTTGCTAGTGCTAGCGCCATCTAGCGGTGAGCGATACAGGCGAACACCACGGGGCCGGAGTAGTATTGATTATGAATGTGGTTACTCCAGATCTTCGATTTTCCTAGTTTTTATAGTTTTCCCTTTATGTGGCCATTAAACCCTAACTCTGTACCAAATTTCAGCCCTCTGAGTTAATGGGAAGTACTAGTTCTATTTTGATGATCATCAGTGAGTGAGTGAGTGAGTGAGTGTCGTAAATGTGAAACTTTGCTTTCGCTTAACTTCGGAACTAAATGACCTACAGACTTGAAATTTTGGATTTAAAGTATGTGATTATAGCTTACTAGATGACGAAAATTTCTGCGTTCTGGTCTTATCCAGAGGTTCTCAAATAGGGGCCTAAAAATGCGGCGAAATGGTTCCAGTAAAGGATGGTACGGCAGTGTTTGCTTCGCGCTCGACTTGGCGGGGGCACTGCCGTGCCCCCAGATCAACTTTATAATCGATGTTTTTGTACAGTTTTCCGTATTGTCTCTATAGCGTGTCCCAAGACGTTCAGGCGCGGAAATGTTCGTGTCGACAGCAAAAAGGTGCTCATGGTTTATGATCCATGGCATTTCGGGTCCCGTTAGATGGACTTTAATTACAATTAATAAAGATTTTATCAGCAACATTGATTAACCTATTAACTTGGAACTCTTAGAAATAATGTGAAGGGTACACAAACAATGAGTTGCGTAACGTATTATTGAAATAGAAAGCATCTTGAATATCAAGAGTTTTGAGTGACACGACGATAACATTGCTTACATAAATAAGCTGTCCAGCCATCAATTTAGGTATTTGAACGCAATAAGAAAATAATTCGGTTGCGATCAACAAATAGTTTGGTGAAAGTGAAATTTCAATAATACTGTTTTAGATCGATTCCGATGAGAGGTTTCGATTCAATCGGGTAATTAACGGAGGCATCAATCACGACCATGATCGCCGATGCCGCTTTGTTGTCGGGCGAAATTACTTATTCGTGCAGAAGTTCTTGTCGGTTTTCAAAGTCTTGCAACAAAGATGTTACGCGAAAGGTGAATCAATAAATAAATAACTTTCGTGAAGTATCATGATGTTAGTAATTATGCTTTATACTCGTATTCGTTTCAGCAGACATAACTTCTGATGTAATACCTGCTGGTGTTGATGAAAAGGGATTCTTCACTATGGATTACTATGCATACCTACTACTTATACTGCTTAAGGTGGTTTAATTTCAGGATCGGGTCAATTCCCACCTCTCGTTCCCACCGCTGCAACTTCTATGTAGCCAGATCTACTTATTCCGGAGGAAAGTTAAACTGTCATTGGACCCGCACCGAAATTAATCAGAAGAATTAATTTCAGGATAGTGATCCAATGAAGCAAAATGGCTACCACAAAATAGGGCCCTCCCCTTTCCTCGTTAATCGATAAAGGCTAGTTTTATCTCAAAACAAATCGAACATGTCGCTGGTATTTCAAAACACAGAAAACCACTTTATAGAAAGTTCAATCACCAGCAGCAGGCATTGTTTCTTGACTTTATTATGTCATTGATTAATAGAAGACTTATTTTGCATTCTTAATCTTATTGTTATCTCGGCTTATGCAATCAAAGGTGTCAGTAGATCCGATATCATTTGATCAAAGTTATTGTTGAGAATTTTTCGCCATATCATTTGCGAAGTGTCCATATCCGGCATAAATTCATCCATGAGTCCATGACCCATACAAAATTGTCAACCTATTTCTGCGTCAATTTTTGCAATTATCTCATATCGTAAATAATTGGCAAACAACTAATTCTTCGTGACTTCATTAACAAGACTTCTGTACAGGTGAAACAATAATTACTTTAGCAGTAATTTACTTACAAATATCTATCTATCCTATCTATGTCAGCCTTTGGGTTCGCCTTCGAACATAGGCCTCCTCTTCAACCCTCCACCGTTTTCTGTCCCTGGCCAAGTGGAGTGGAGACCCCGCAACAACACCCGCGGCAGAGGAAGACCGCCTAAACGATGGACAGACGATATCCGGCAGCAGGCTGGAGTGAACTGGATGCGTGTGGCCAGGGACTTACAAATATATTACGTCGGAAATTGATTGAAAGTTATAGGTAACGCGTGTACGCATCATTGACTCACGAGGAAATCCTCAGTAAATTGGTAGTTCAAGTAAAAGGTATTCTAACTAGTTAAGTATAGAGGTAAATAAAATGTATAACGCTAGTTTATCTAGTTATGAAGTTTGCAATTAGAAAGGAATGTAAATCAAACCTTGATATCAGGATTGGTAACACAAGGCTGAAGATGCGTATCTGCAACTACAGTGAAACAGTGAATCATCAATATAAAGAAAAAGAATTCTTTAATTTTTGATCGGGCCAACAATAATGACTGATACTGTAAAAGCGCGTCGGAATTTAGTATGTTTCATACTACGTATTGCTGAAATTTTATTCAGGATTGTTCGACGATAGGTATAATTATGTACCTATATGGTCTACAGTTCTCTACACGCGTTCGAAAAGCTAATTAATATAAAAATGAATTGCTCTTCGTTATGCTCGCTAAAAATCGAAAACAGCTGAGCCGATTTAGCTAATTTTGGTTTTCAAATGTTTGTCTTAGTCCAGGGAAATGTTAACGGTGAGAAAATAAGGGAGAAACAATTAGACGTACCTAAGTGGTACGAAGTTCACCATGTCATCTAGTATTAAATACCTACATACCTAAGGAACATCCCAAGGTAGATTTGGTAAGCCATAGATCCGCGGCACTTCTTTCCCAGTGATTGCCGATGCCGATCGCGATGTTCGATAGGCTTCAGGCTAAACCCGACAGATACGTACTAAGTAGGCCTAACTGCATATCGTCAATGATCGCACAAGCCCCTAAGCGGTACCTCACAAATGTTTTAATTAACTGCATCAAACGCAACAATGGGCTCGCGGGAGGATCGGCACAATGCATGGCCTCCATGTATTGAGACCATACCATTGAAAAGCTTTGGACTGATGATTCGGTGGTCTAGGTGGAGACAGTTACATCATGCCGCCACAATGCCGCAGACGGGCTATTGTCGGACGTTGTAACATGTTTTATTATGAGTTATTTGAACTTTTAAAACCTGTACCCATTGAATTCACAGCCTACAAAAATGACCAATCATTTGTAATCTACTTAATGCAATTTGAGCGCGTATTTAGAAACGCACTTTCCATTTTAGTGTTATTATTGTTAGTGGAGAATATGTTGAATTTATTATCCTGTATTTATAACACTAAAGAAACATAAAAAAATATCAAATTGAATATGAGTAAAAAGCTGGTAAAAACTACTTTCAATACACACATTATTCAAATAAAACAATTATTGTGATAATAAAAGATTTGAATTTATAAAGAAACATTTAGGTAATGTTAACAGAAATAATGATATAAGGGAACAGTAATCTGAGTGGACTATAAGTTTCTCACTGACCAGTCCTTCCTCTGCTTATATCCTGGATTTATTCATCAGAAAAAATACAATAAGAACACTAACCCCCTTACTAATAAAACTTACATGCTCGTTTTAAAGTGATGTTTAGTATGGAAATGTCATTTTAAAACAGTGTTCAACAAGTGTGTAACTTTTTATTAATAAGGGGGTAAATGTGTAAGGGCCTTACCATTAAATACCTACTATAAAATTATGTTTAAATTTCAATTTTACATGATAATCATAACTTTTTAAAATATAATTTCACAACTTTTCAAGCTTTCATATCCATCCATCAAATCTATTTAAAGGACCTTCAATGTAACTAACCCCATTGGAAATTAATTTAAGACCCAAACATTTATATTATTTTCTGAGTAATTAGATAGGGATTTTGGATAATTCATCGCTTACAAGATTTTTTAATTAAAAGGTAGTATCAGCTGATTGAAATAAACTAATAATAAAACAACCCTTTTATAAATTATACTATTTTAGAATTTGAGATAAAAAAGATAATTTAAGTTATTTATTTATTTATTCATTTGCATTAACATATTCAGTACATACAGGTATACATGCATTCATACATTGACCCTGTGAGGGTGTAGCAAACCTATAGGTACTTAGTTAACATCTAACATTAACAATTACAAAATTATGGAACCTCATTCATATCTTTTAGGGTTTGCTACGTTCCTCTAAACTAAAGAATGTAATACATTAATAAATACCTAATTAATTAATTAATTAGGAGTAGGATCAAAAATAAATTTAGGTGTTCTGCATGAATAAATAAGAGATTTTTAGACCAGTTTTAAAATAATTATACTAATTATTAAAGGCTCAGAAAGTTCAGTCACCCCAAATAAAAACAGTATAGCACTGACTCAGGCAAAAACCGTGAAAATGGAAAGTAAATTAAAAGCAGAATACCGAAGTTTGACCTTTACAAGACAAGTTTCAATATTTTTCGTTAGGCGAAAAGTATTGCATCAAAACACTTGTGCACTGTACAGGTAGGTAGGGAAATATGTAGGTACTTACCGACGCAGCCACTTGAAGACTCCCATGTCCTGCAGCGAATCCACTTTTCGTCTATTTCTTACACTACATACAAAAACTATCCGTCAGTCTAAGTAACTATACGTAAATGTGAATAACTTTAAAATTGAAAGCGTCTACGCGAGCACGCGGGCATTACCGGCGCATTAGAAGTCCGATCGCAACAAAAAACAACTAGCAACAATGACCACCGATATATTGTGCGGTCAGACAAAACATCACGAACGGCACGCCATTCGCAATGAGCTGAATTTAGTTTTTTGTACAAATTACTTTTCGTTGCGCTCCGGTGATCCACTTCATCCGCGCCAGTTAGGCCGGACCTCGCTTGTGTCGCTTGTCTGTCTGTCGCGGCGCGGTCACAGGCGGATCGGTCTACCGCACCAAATTAAATGCAAGCGTAGCGTTATGTACTTATAAATTCTACACAAATACAAATGTAGGGTAGTTTTAAACTTAAATGTTATTAATTTGAATTAATTGTTTACCCTTTTGACGTTTCTGTCTCGGATTTACTTTTCAAAGCTTTATACTCGTACAAAAACTTTTTCATTTTAGTTGATTAATCGGAATTAAAAATAGATAAAACGCATTTTTAACTAACAAAACAAACCACAGCTTTTTAGTTAGAAATTTAAAAAATTCTTTGTTAAACTGGGAAATCTGAAAATTATTTTATGACGTAGAGTAATCTTAAAGTAACAACTGAGTTACATTTTGTTATCCATAAACATATAGCTGGGGGGAAGCTTATAAAATTAGTTGAAAAATACAAAAGAATATAAAAATATATGCGTGTTAAGTTATTTTATAAGAAAATGTTATTATATATTATTATTTCAATTGAAAGTTATTTTTTTGATCAATTTGACTTCCGGTAACATATTATTTTAATCCACAGATTAGTAAAAATAGAGGCCGTATTCGCAGGTTTTTGCTTTCGAGCTAAAAAGAGTTAAGCTTTGAGCTGATGATATGAGCTAATCTTTGGAGCAGCAAAAGTTATGATAATCAACTTTGAAGCAACAAAGTTAAATAAGAATTTAATAACAAGCAAATATTTCTTGTATAGATTAAAATCTAAATTAACATGGCAACACTGTTCAGACTGTTTCCGGCCAAAAACACTTTATCCAGTTTCATGTGCTTTTCGAAAAAATCATAACTGTCAATTGTCATTTGTTTGATTTGGAAAAGTTTGTTTACGTTGTTTGAATTGAATTTTACAAGATTTTGTTGATAATTCGACTGATTCATTCATGGACGAATTGAGAGGGCCAAATATACAAATAGTTCTTCATGTCAAAGAAGGTTGTTACGTTCAAAGTATTTTTAACATTTTGTTTTCCCTGCTCTTTAGTGTAACTTAATTTTCAGGGCTTGGGTTTGGATTTTTACGGAGTCCTTTTATTGTAAGCGGCTCCCTGAATGGATATATGCTGGAGACTGATCCGGTGGTGCCAACACACGCACCAGTCTTTGATGCAGAGCTCGTTTGGGAAGCTGACAAAAGAAGATTTCGGAGGTTTTTTTTTATTGTTCCTTCTGTGCCTTCTTACAATCTATGAAACATAACTTTTGCTAAAGTGCTAAGTTTTCAGCCTTCGAGTACAAAATGTGCCCGTCAAAGTGGAGGTATTCACCATGGGTACACAGGGCAGGAAGGACAAAATTGGATATCTTCTTCTAAGCCTGCTGGGTGCCCAGCCATGTCCATCAAATAAATTGAATGATGTAAGAAACAGTTGATTTCGTTCATTTGTTGATCATATGAAAAGTAAAAGTATAACATATATAAATTTTTAGGTAAAACATACATGGCACAGGCTTTTGGGCGTGAAGTCAGAAGGCAAGTGCTGTCATCCTCAGTTGCTCATGAGCCTCTCTGTTGAAGACAGAGTTAATATTCCAACACCTGTAAGTTTGAGGAAATATTATTGCCTAATATCAGTAGAAACAAACTCAATCTATGATGAATGTAAAACATTAATTACAAGACCTCTTCAATTATAATTGTAGTAAATAAATAGAGGTATAAATATACACTGCAGGTATTAATTTTATTAATTGTTTCAAGACTTTAATGGGTTTATTGTACATAAAATATATTGGTTCTAAATCACTTTCAATTAAATGTCAGATTGTTGTTGGTGGAAGTAGAAACCTTTGATATTATTATGTATTCACTGTGCTGTTATTTTAATTAAAACATGTTTTATTTCTAGAGAAACGAGTTGAGGATGTTTCACAGCAATGAAATAGCATATCCAGCTTCAAATTATGCTCCAAATCCCAATCCAAGTGCAGGCAGGACTATTTTGTTTACATTAGGTAAGTATAATGTGCCATTCTTGTTGCAAATATCCAAAGTCATTGTTTCAATGAGGGCTATCGTTTTAGCGCTCACCAGTTTGCGCCACTGTAGACTAAGGTCCTGTCACTTGCTAGTAGCGAAGACAGTGGCACCATCTGGTGAGTGCTAAAGTGGTAGGAGGACTATCGCATTTGCACTCATCAAGATGGCGCCACTGTAGAGTAAGGTCCTGTCAATCGCCAGGGGTGCCAACTGTTAAGTATAAAAACGATAGCCCTCATTGGAATAAGGTTGTGCCATCAACTTTTTGGCCACTTTGGGTGTCATGCACTATTTGATACTGTCAATCAGTCTTTCCATGATTCTTCAAGAAGATAAATTATTGATTAATTAGCGCTTCTTTATTTTGTTTCTCAAACAGAGGAGTACATAGCAGAAAGCAAGAAGACAGTGTCATCACCTGAGCTTCAGCCAAGATTGTTGTGTGAGGAAGGCCTCATACAAATAGGCGATGGCAAGCATCTCTTCGTACTCAGCTTCGTTATCGAGGCTGTGGAGAATTTGGACATGGTATGTGTTTTAATTTATAGTAGTTCTAAAATTTTAAATGATGCTGGTTAAGTTTTATGTGTCATTGAAAGAACACATTAATTACATTTTTCTATAAAAATATTGGCATGATTTCAGCTTCTGCCTGAATCTAACCGAGCTCAAAAGGATGCAGTGGATTGTTACGTCAGTTATTCAGTGTTCACACACAATATTATGACAGATAGGTAATTATATGTATTGTTTGATTTAATTATAATGAAGTTTTTAGGAAACCTCATGAATGTAAGATGTTTTTTGATAGTAACAAAAAATAATGTTTGGCGCCACATAACTCGTAATACTGTCACTGGGGCAGAAAAGTTTTCGACTGACGACCACAGATTGGAAGACGCGGTATTTGCAGGCCTCCCACTCGATACACCAACGATCTAGTACAGGTCACAGGAATCACCTAACTGCTCGCAGCACAGGACCAATCATTGTGGCAATCCTAGGATGCCCTTATCCGGCATTAAACGTGTTTTAACTGAAACAAACAAATAAATTGAGGAGTGGGAAAAGAGTATGTGACAAATTGAAATTAAGCCACTGGCAAACGCTATTATTTTTATTTTATTTACTTATTTATTTAACCCATTTAGACCGATAATTATTTTTCTAAATAAAAATTGATTTTTCAGTAAAAACTTACAAAAGGAAGCCTGAAAACCATGAAAAAAATATTAAAAAAAATAATCCATAAATAGGGGGCCGTGGGGAGCCCGTACCATATAGGGTACAGTAGGTCTATAAGCATGCAAAACATAGTCGTTGTTCAAAGAAGATTTTTATTTATTTTTGTATGATATAAAATAAAAATAAAATCACATAATCACTAGTATCACACTTGGCATATCTTGTAACACGTTTTCTGTGATACTAACCACATTTGGTTCTTTTTTCCTACCTTCTCCGAAGTTAGTGAGGATAGCTGAAGAAGACTTGGCTTCTTTTGATTTGTTACGTTTAGTGCTATCCATAATCGCATTTAGCAACACGACGATGGAAATTTAGCAAATCCATCGAAGAAAACTCTGAGGGTTATTATTTACATTGACACTATCTTTATCGCCTAAATTTTCGTCAGTCTGATCATCATTAGTGGTCATCTGACAAGACAGCAGTAGGAAAATACCAAGATTGCTTTGTTTGCTGAAATTATCAAATATTTCACGAGTTGTGGCAATATAGTGAAGCATCAATAGCCTAAAACAAATAAAAATAATAAAAATGAAATTTTATTTTTTCGCATGATTTGCTTATGCATAGACCTACTGTACCTTATAGGGTACACCTATTTTAGACTGGAATAAACCGTATAAAAATAATCTTCATAATATTTTTTTGTTGTCATGATATCTATTGTACTCTATTTTTAAAATAAAATTGATAAATAACATAATTTACCATGAATAATAAGAAATTATACCTTCTTAAATACATTGTAAATATTTTTTTGGTTTTCTGTCGAGGAATTTCATAAATATTTCCGAAACCATTTGTTAAAACATATTTTTAAATATTTTTATGTAAAATAATCACTTTAAGCTTACTGTCTCAATCATTTTTACAAGTTAACAACAATTTGGTACTTCGAAATATTTTCAAAAAGATACCGTACCACATAGGGTACGGTAGGGCTAAATGGGTTAATTAGGACAACCAAAAAGGGGTTTACATACATATTTTTTTTTCATGTTTCTTGGCTACTAATGAAATATTCTGCCAACGCTTCAGGGTTGCCGCCAGCGCGTCGGGCGCCGGGTGCTCCGCGCACTTCAACCAGCGCACGTCGCTGCGGCTGCGCTCGCGGCTGGCAGCCCTGGGCCGGTACTTCGCGCAGTGTCCCTACTTGGTCACCAGGGTGTATGCGGGCGATAAGGACGTGGGTTAGTAAAGCCTGGTCCGTGAGCACGTAGAATTTTGTCCAATGACCCCAAGCTACCCATCCTTATCGCTCGCGCGTAATTATATTGCTGTCGCGACTGTTCGACGGGCGCCCCTAGTGAGTGTGCGAGCGCAACAGCAACATAATTACNAAGCCTGGTCCGTGAGCACGTAGAATTTTGTCCAATGACCCCAAGCTACCCATCCTTATCGCTCGCGCGTAATTATATTGCTGTCGCGACTGTTCGACGGGCGCCCCTAGTGAGTGTGCGAGCGCAACAGCAACATAATTACGCGCGAGCGATAAGGATGGGTAACTTGGGGTCATTGGACAAAATTATACGTGCTCACGGACCAGGCTTTAGTTACTTTATCAATTTTGTGGACTTTTTTGAGATTATTTTTGGATCAGAATATCAACTTTAAACTTGGATAGGTTTTAAATTAATTGGTAAAGTTGGATTCTCACTTTTTGTATCATAGAGGAAAATTTTTTTACTGACTTCAAAAAAGGAGGTTCTTTGTATCACATATTTAATTTCATAGCACCTGTTCGAATATTCAGCCTTACCATTAGATTTTCACACTGCAATCTAAACATGATTGATAGTGAACCATATAATTATTTACAGGTTTAAATCTATGAATTAATGAATTTGAAACTCGTTTTGAACGATCTTGAAGAGTATCAGTTAGACTTATAATAAATTAATACTACTAATAATTAATTTTGAAATACTACTAATATAGACCAGTAACTTCACTTCAGAAAATAGTTCATCTTAGTTTTTTTTATTAATAAATAAATAAATCTTTGGACAATCTCACACAGCGCCAGCTAGCTCCAAAGTAAGCAACTCAATGCTTGTGTTATGGGTGCTAGCTTAACGGATATACTACTAATATACTTTTTTTTTTAAATACATACATTATTATACATAGTAACACCCAGACCCGTCACAGAAATTAAAATTCATCATTTCAATTTCTGCCCGGCCGGGAATCGAACCCGGGACCTCTCGGCATAGTAGTCCGCTCTGAACCACTACACCAATCGGCCGACAATTCATAATTAATATTCTTTTTGTAACTATTCAAATATTTTCAGGCATCTGCAGCATGGATCTCCGTAAACTAGTGCCTACTGAAGACCCCAAACAGTTTGTTGAACAGTTCTGTGACCACGAGCGCTCGCTCACCATACACGAGCGCTGCTTCATACTGCGCTGCGATGGTAGACCCAGTGACGATCATAGAAGGCCCTTTGTAGACGTGGAAATGAGCCTGAAGTATGTTGGGGACAAGAAAGATAAGGCACAGGTGAGATTAGTTACGTTTGTCATTGAGTAAGTAGGTTAGATTGTCTTTGAGAGTATTATAAACGCTGCTTCATACTGCGCTGCGACGGTAGACCCAGTGACGACCATAGAAGACCTTTTGTTGACGTGGAAATGAGCTTGAAGTATGTTGGGGATAAAAAAGACAAGGCACAGGTAAGATTACTTCATTAAGTAAGTAGATTCTAGAATATCTTAGTAGTTACCATACACGAGCGCTGCTTCATACTGCGCTGCGATGGTAGACCCAGTGACGACCACAGAAGGCCTTTTGTTGATGTGGAGATGAGCCTGAAGTATGTTGGGGACAAAAAGGATAAGGCACAGGTGAGATTATTTACTTTTGTAATTGAGTAAGTAGGTTGGATTGTCTTTGAGAGTATTATGAACGCTGCTTCATACTGCGCTGCGATGGTAGACCCAGTGACGACCATAGAAGACCCTTTGTTGATGTGGAAATGAGCCTGAAGTATGTTGGGGACAAGAAAGATAAGGCACATGTGAGATTAGTTACGTTTGTCATTGAGTAAGTAGGTTAGATTGTCTTTGAGAGTATTATGAACGCTGCTTCATATTGCGCTGCGACGGTAGACCCAGTGACGACCATAGAAGACCCTTTGTGGACGTGGAAATAAGCCTGAAGTATGTAGGAGATAAAAAGGATAAGGCACAGGTAAGATTACTTCATTAAGTAAGTAGATTCTGGACTATCTTTGTAGTTACCATGGCATGAGCGCTGCTTCATACTGCGCTGCGACGGTAGACCCAGTGACGACCACAGAAGGCCTTTTGTAGATGTTGAAATGAGCTTGAAGTATGTTGGGGATAAAAAGGATAAGGCTCAGGTGAGTTTAAATAACTTTTTTGATACTTCGATGCATGAAGTAAGGGCTAGATTGTCTGAAGTTACTACGAGCGCTGCTTCATACTGCGCTGCGACGGTAGACCCAGTGACGACCATAGAAGACCTTTTGTGGGCGTGGAAATGAGCTTGAAGTATGTTGGGGATAAAAAGGATAAGGCACAGGTGAGATTATTTACTTTTGTAATTGAGTAAGTAGGTTAGATTGTCTTTGAAGTTACTACACAAGTGCTGTTTCATACTGCGCTGCGACGGTAGACCCAGTGACGACCATAGGAGACACTTTGTGGACGTGGAGATGAGCCTGAAATATGTTGGGGACAAGAAAGATAAGGCACAGGTGAGATTACTTTATTCAGTAAGTAGATTCTAGACTATCTTAGTAGTTACCATGGCATGAGCGCTGCTTCATACTGCGCTGCGATGGTAAACACAGTGACGACCACAGAAGGCCTTTTGTTGATGTGGAAATGAGCCTGAAATATGTTGGGGATAAAAAGGATAAGGCACAGGTGAGATCAACAACGTAATTCAGTAAGTAAGTTACATAGTCTTTGAGGTTTCCACGAGTGATGCTTCATACTGCGCTGCGATGGTAGACCTAATGACGACCATAGGAGACCTTTTGTGGACGTGGAAATGAGCTTGAAGTATGTTGGGGATAAAAAGGATAAGGCACAGGTGAGTTTATTTTTTCTGTAAATAAGTTAGATAGTCTTTGAGATAAAAAAAAGATACTGGGCTGCGACGACCGGTTTAACGATGATAAATAGTTGGACTTTGGAGATAAAAAGGATAAGATACAGGTAAGATTTACTTGTTTCATTCACGAAGCAGGGTAAAATATCTTTTGAGGTAACCAGGAATACTGCTTTATACTGCGGTGTGACGGTCGGCCTAGTGACGATCATAGAAGACCCTTTGTTGATGTGAAATGAGCCTGAAGTATGTTGGGAATGAAAAGGATAAGGCACAGGTGAGATCAACAACGTATTTAATTCAGTAAGTAAGTTACATAGTCTTTGAGGTTTCCACGAGTGATGCTTCATACTGCGCTGCGATGGTAGACCCAGTGACGATCATAGAAGACCCTTTGTGGATGTGGAGATGAGCCTGAAATATGTTGGGGACAAGAAAGATAAGGCACAGGTGAGATCAACAACGTATTTAATTCAGTAAGTAGGTTAGACTGTCTTTGAGGTTACTACGAGCGCTGCTTCATACTGCGTTGAGTGACGATCATAGAAGATTGTAGACATGGAGATAGGTTTGAAGTATGTTGGGGACAGGAAGGATAAGTCACAGGTGAGGTCAACTACTTGTTTGATAGGGAGGACATATTTGAAGTTGGTTACCACGAGAGACGATTCATTTGGTTGGTTTTAGGATAAAGCGGTGAACCAAATTTTCATGCAAAATCGCTATTTTATGAGCTAGATAGAGGAACGACTACCGTATTTGCGCGCACCTAAGGAAGTTCTTGTCACTCGCTAGTAGCTAAGACAGTAGCTCCATCTGTTGAGCGCAAATCTATACTTCTATACAAATGCGAAAGTAACTCTGTCTGCCTGTCTGTCTTACTTTCACGCCTAAACCACTGAACCGATTTTGATGAAATTTGGAATAGAGAGTTTTTATCCCGTTTTTTGAAACAGGGACGCGCGCGATAAAGTTCTTCTGTGACACAAAATTCCTCGCGGGCGAAGCCGCGGGTGGAAAGCTAGTACGAGTATAACACAATAGGACTTCGCTCTTGAACTCATTGGTAGGCGCCACAGGTGACTACGTTAACTTTTATTATGTCTCCGATTCCTTATTATAGGTTGTATAACTACCATATTTTATTTCCAGAAGCCAGCAGTTCTCACGGCTCGTAGTGCGAGCCAACTCGAAAGCAGCAGGAAAGGATCGGAGCCCGAGCGTGACGTCAGGCTGGACTACAAAAGCGGCAGTTGCACCAATCTAGACCAAGATGTAGGTGAAGTGGCCTACACCAACATCGCTGTCGGAAACACTGCCAGGTCAGTTTGCTTGTTATTACAGTAGATATAAGAACAATAGTCCTATAGCACGAGCTAGCAGGAAAGGATCCGAGCCCGAGCGTGACGTCAGACTGGACTACAAAAGCGGCAGTTGCACCAATCTAGACCAAGACGTGGGCGAAGTGGCATACACCAACATAGCTGTCGGAAACACTGCCAGGTTAGTTTGGTTGTTATTGCAGTAGATATGAGTGCTATAGTCCCGCAGCTCAAGTCAGCTAGCGACAGAAACGGTTGAACCTTCAACTGAAGCTGAAAGCTTAATAAAACTCCAACGACCAGTTGTAAATTGGATCACTTAGTCCATACATCGTCCATGTTGTGGTAATTTGAATCGAAATATGAAAAAAAAAAAACCATTTTACTTCTCACACAAGCAAAACTAGCGCCACTAGCGGAATAAAATTGAACTAAAAAGAACAAAATATATTTTTTTATTTTTTATTATGGTGAGTTCACTCGTGACACAAGCATATTTAGTTTAGTACGAGGGGCTAACAGGACTGACATTGTGTAATAACTGTTAATAAGCATGGCTCACTGTCTTTCCATACTTACCCTAATATTAACCCTAATATCCATCTAATTTTCAGATACAAAAACGCATCAGGCGACGCAATAATCCAGACGAACGAAATAACGGAACTAATTAAGAAAATGTGCGATTCCTTCACTTTGACCCAAGAGAAGTTACTCGCAGCTCGAGCTCGTCCTGCAACCAGCGATATGCAGGTGCAATGCGAAGGGATTGGGCAAGATAATCCCACTGTTGGGCAACGGGGTACTACGGAAAGTGGTGAAACGGAATGTAGAGATGGCAGTGTGAAAAGTGGGGGCAGCCGTCTGAATTGTGATAGGAATAGTGACGTGTAAGTTGAATTTTGTAATACGCTTATCATAAACTGGTGAATCAATTACTATCCGTTCGCTTTAAGTTTGCCGCTGGCGATATGACGTCACTCGAAGGGAAGCGTCTATAACTATAACAAATTATAATGTTTTTATTTATTATTGTTGATAAAAATTGTGTATTTGCGTAAAATAAGACACATTAATTGCGTTTAATCACTAACTAATTGCGTTTAATCGCGGTTGGGAGAGGGGACGCGCATCCACGGACCAGCTAACTTAGCGCGAACGGGTAGTAAATAAAATAAAAAACAATAGTAGTAGCTAGCGGTATAAGAAATTACTAGTAATGCTATTTTTGGTTGCGAGTTAGAAAGTTATCTCCGATCATTATCACGAATTTTCGTAAAAGTAAATCCTGTATAATATTATTGGCTGTTTCGATTTCCATTTGAATCAAAATGTGTGTCTGTTACAGTATTGAAAGTAAACCAATCCGCCTGGAAACAAGCAAGAGCGAAACATACATATCTCATCATGAAAGGGGCAAGTAATCCTTTTACACAATTTATACTCGCAAAATTAAATGTGCAAACATAATACTTTCATATTTGGGTCATTCCACAAAAATATGTCAACTCTTAGTCCGCGCCACATTTCACATGAAATATTTGTTAATATTTTATTCCAAAATTGTTAAATAACAGCTCGCAATGTGCTTTATTCATCACCCATTTATATTTTTTGAAACTATTTTTAAATCATCTTAAATTCCTTTTAAGTGACCCAAAACGTCATTCCCTAGGCATGTCCGTACTCCAAAAGTTTGTGTTTTGGAACCCATATTTATAAAAACGTCAACTTTATCCTTTGTATTAATTAACGAATAATCAATTTAAATGTATATTACACCAAATTCTATTAATATTTTGCGGTTTCAATAAACAATAATTTGATTTTCTTTAGTTGAAAATATGTCCACAGCTTTTAACGTCATTCCCTCGCCACGCACTAATTTTATAATTTTGCGCTTTAATATGTAATTAGAGTGAATGACATTTAGTTGAGTTTAAAGTACGATACGAAGTTATCCTCAGACCATACTGGCTTTGCGGTAGCCGTTTTTTGAATTAGTGCAAACGTGGCAGTTGTTCCGGAAACATGTGTTGATACAGTCACTTCGTCAGTCCCTAGTTGAGTAGCTTTATTGATTACAATAGGAAATTGTATATAATTTAATTGTATTTACGTGTGGCTTTTCGGCTATTTTCGGTACATCGTATTAAGCATCTTATAATGTAAAGTTAATCTGCATTTATGTTAAGTTTTACTCCAAATCGTCAGTCCCTAGACCGTCAGGCCCTAGCTTTAAACGGCGCTTGGGACTAAATTACTAGTTAGGGAATAACGTTTTTTATATAGTGATAATAAAAAAACAACTACATTAAGTATATTAACTTATCTATAAATGTTAAGGTTATAAGTTTTAAACTTTATTAGAAGTCATATAGGAGTAATGTAGTATGAAAAAATTGAAAATTATAATTTCTCCTAAAATAAAGCATAAAGTGACTGGCCCTTTTAGACATAACATAATTAATTAATAAACTATAATTTACACTAATAAAGTATTCAAAAGCATCTTAAAAATGTTACGGACAAAATGACGTCGAAAATATACAGATTTTTATGGAATGACCCATTTATTTATTTTAATGTTTTCAGATATGGTAAAAATAGCTCTAACGCACGCCGAACGTGACTCCATAATGCAGAAATTCGTTGATGAATTAGAAGACTGGAAGGAAAAGCAACAGGAATTGTTTAAAATACAGGTAGGATTATTCTTCCACTACCACTTTTGTATGGTTGTAAAAGCAACTAAGGGACAAATATGCGCTCATCAAGAGAAGTTTGGCCCGCTTGGCCAGCGTAGGACAGTTCCTCCATTTGCTAGTAAATTAAAATATAATATCGTACTAATGCTTGACTTACTTGACTTATGGTCCTATGTCCCCTAGATGGGGCAGAGGGCGTCCACAACAGTCCTCCATCGCGTTCGGTGTTGAGCTATCATCTATCGTACTAATGCAGTGGCCCCAAAAATGACTTGGCAGAATGAGTTTCTTTTTATGATTGTCCAGACAGTGTTGGAATTTCAAACAACAATAACTTCACATTCAGCCTTTTAGAATGGGAAACCTCTCATTATTAAATGTTTGCTTCCAGCTGAAACGCAAAGAAGAGTACCACCTAGATCTCCTAGCCAAGGAGTGGGCCAAGAAACGCTTGGAGGTGGAGACCAAGCTAAGTCGCGGCGTGCAGCAATGTCGCGCGTTGGCTGCTGACTTGGCGCGAGCTACCGATGACTTCAGGCTGAGGGGATATAGGAACACCGAGCGAGAGAAGAAGGTAGCTTAGCATCGATATGGCATGGGCATCAAAGCTAAACTTTACAGTAAACCCTTTGGGGTGATCGTGATTTTTTGGTGAAAAGTCCATATGCAAGGTTTTCAGAAACTGAAAAGGACTAAAAATTTGTCAAATTTTTAAGCCGGTTATTACAAACGACCTCCTGGCAGGCCTTGGGTATCGTATCTATGTCCTAAATTATCGTAAACAAATTAAAACTAAACCCCCAAATACATGTGTTAGGAATAGGCTCACCACAATAGTTCAACAGATGACGGAGACAGACGGTGAATCGGTCGAATATTGAGAAAAAATAAGTTGTAAGATGTAGTTAAACCACGTCCAAGGAATGTAATTAATCTGTTTTCAGTCAGCCAGCCATTTCCAGTTATGTTCTTGGGAACGCTTACACCGACACAGATGACGATTGTATCTATCTGTAGCAGTTAACAGTTGTGGTTCCCAAATATAAAAAAAAACTGATCTAGTTTTCCCTTTATCAGTTGCACGAAGCGAAGAAAGCGCTGGAATCCCACTATACAGCGAAATACCAAGAGTTGAGAGACGCATCCCAAAAGATGGAGGACGATATGAACCACCGCCTAAAGCTCAAGGAAATGCGCATCGAAGAGCTGGAGACTACCGTACAGCAGCTGGAGAAACAGCTGGGAGCGATGAAGGTAATATTCGTAGCAAAAACGGATTCATATTTATGTTTGTTGCTCAGTGACATAACAGTAAGCAACGGGACTATTCCCACGGCTTCAAATCTAAAATCCGACAAACGTTACTTCGACTTTACGTTACTCCGATACTACTGAGTATCGACATGACTACTTCGACACTACACTACTCAGACAAAGGCGTATATCCTTAATTCAGTAGTGTCGGAGTATCGTAATGCCGAACGTAACGTTTGTCGGAGTATACATTTCCAGCCTATTCCCACACACACTTTCTCGCCACTGCGACTCCTATAACCAGGATCTACAGTTTGGCCTTCAATGAAATTCAACCAGTAAAGGTAGGGTAGTCCCGCAGCCGCAGGATAGCTAACTGTAACCTGTAAAAAAATAAAAAAAATATTAGAAGATTAAAGGAGTTCGAAATGAGTGACAGACGAAACAGTAAGCAAATGGCGTTACTTGAATGAAGATACGGGGTTTTGTGCTAAAAAATGCTGGTATTGACACGAGATATTCGAGATGTGTCAATATGCATTGCAAATATAAACTAACCAATTATTTAAATTTTAGACGAATCTCAAGAACGTTGAAAAGGATGCAGAGAGCCGATATTCAGGTCTAACCAAAGATCAGACTGCCAGCCTCATACAGGAGTTGGTAAGTTATTACTTCTCTTTTTAAGATCGCACTTACTTTTTGGAATCAAATACTTTGGTTTTTACTAAAAGAACATGATTTTTTTTTATAATTTCTGTTGACAAACATTCATTGCTTGTTCAATAAATAATAATAAATAAATAATTTCATCCCCTTATTGAATAAATATTGGGACGAAATCTTTATTTATAGATTCAATTTCAGTCTTAGATTTTGCTTGTTATGTTATTGGTCTAATTCTCTAATTCAACCAATCAAGTCTCAGTCTTTACATGAAACAGAGTCAAGTTTTGAAATTCGTTATGTCTCATGATACCTATTTGTATTAGTTTTGAAATTCGTTATGTCTTATGATGCCTATTTGTATGAGTTTTGAAATACGTTATGTCTCATGATGCCTTGTATTTTCCAGCGCTGCCTAGAAGAGAAGTTAGACAGCGCGGTGCAGTCCAAGGCGTTCTTCAAGGAGCAGTGGGGCCGCGCCGTCAGAGAGCTGCACCTCAACAAGCTGCACACGCGGCGGCAGTTGCTCGCGCGGCTGCAGCGAGAGAGGCAGCAACTGGGCGACGAGGGGTCAGTGTAGAGTCATTGGATAGTTGTCGAGAGTCACTGAGGCGGTCTTCAAGGAGCAGTGGGGCCGCGCCGTCAGAGAGCTGCACCTCAACAAGCTGCACACGCGGCGGCAGTTGCTCGCGCGGCTGCAGCGAGAGAGGCAGCAACTGGGCGACGAGGGGTCAGTGTAGAGTCATTGGATAGTTGTCGAGAGTCACTGAGGCGGTCTTCAAGGAGCAGTGGGGCCGCGCCGTCAGAGAGCTGCACCTCAACAAGCTGCACACGCGGCGGCAGTTGCTCGCGCGGCTGCAGCGAGAGAGGCAGCAACTGGGCGACGAGGGGTCAGTGTAGAGTCATTGGATAGTTGTCGAGAGTCACTGAGGCGGTCTTCAAGGAGCAGTGGGGCCGCGCCGTCAGAGAGCTGCACCTCAACAAGCTGCACACGCGGCGGCAGTTGCTCGCGCGGCTGCAGCGAGAGAGGCAGCAACTGGGCGACGAGGGGTCAGTGTAGAGTCATTGGATAGTTGTCGAGAGTCACTGAGGCGGTCTTCAAGGAGCAGTGGGGCCGCGCCGTCAGAGAGCTGCACCTCAACAAGCTGCACACGCGGCGGCAGTTGCTCGCGCGGCTGCAGCGAGAGAGGCAGCAACTGGGCGACGAGGGGTCAGTGTAGAGTCATTGGATAGTTGTCGAGAGTCACTGAGGCGGTCTTCAAGGAGCAGTGGGGCCGCGCCGTCAGAGAGCTGCACCTCAACAAGCTGCACACGCGGCGGCAGTTGCTCGCGCGGCTGCAGCGAGAGAGGCAGCAACTGGGCGACGAGGGGTCAGTGTAGAGTCATTGGATAGTTGTCGAGAGTCACTGAGGCGGTCTTCAAGGAGCAGTGGGGCCGCGCCGTCAGAGAGCTGCACCTCAACAAGCTGCACACGCGGCGGCAGTTGCTCGCGCGGCTGCAGCGAGAGAGGCAGCAACTGGGCGACGAGGGGTCAGTGTAGAGTCATTGGATAGTTGTCGAGAGTCACTGAGGCGGTCTTCAAGGAGCAGTGGGGCCGCGCCGTCAGAGAGCTGCACCTCAACAAGCTGCACACGCGGCGGCAGTTGCTCGCGCGGCTGCAGCGAGAGAGGCAGCAACTGGGCGACGAGGGGTCAGTGTAGAGTCATTGGATAGTTGTCGAGAGTCACTGAGGCGGTCTTCAAGGAGCAGTGGGGCCGCGCCGTCAGAGAGCTGCACCTCAACAAGCTGCACACGCGGCGGCAGTTGCTCGCGCGGCTGCAGCGAGAGAGGCAGCAACTGGGCGACGAGGGGTCAGTGTAGAGTCATTGGATAGTTGTCGAGAGTCACTGAGGCGGTCTTCAAGGAGCAGTGGGGCCGCGCCGTCAGAGAGCTGCACCTCAACAAGCTGCACACGCGGCGGCAGTTGCTCGCGCGGCTGCAGCGAGAGAGGCAGCAACTGGGAGACGAGGGGTCAGTGTTTTGAACTGGTTTTAATTGGTTTGCAGCGTTTTTCATTAGCATTTGCCAAATGTTTGCTTTCAAAATGCCGGCAGAACAAAAAAATCATGAAACGTCAAGTGCCATTGACCATTTGTAAGCCATGCCAGAATATCGACACGATTTTTTATTTTGTTTTCCAAGGTACGGCTTATAAAAAAAAATCTTTCTAGCCTTAAAAAAGAGTCATGAATAGGGCTCCAAACTGCGAATTTATTCAGCCAGACTTGCATGCATCATGTCATTTTTTTAATTAGCTCGCACGCCTTGTACGTCAATGCATGCCACGTATGTAAAAGAACTGTAAAAATTGTGAATGCGAATGAATTAAGAAAAAACCTTGCGTATTGAATCCCGTTGACTACAAAATTAAACTTTTAATGGCTTTGAAACCAATAAATTGTCAGTCAATTAATGCCAGCTGCCACTGAATTCAATTACACATTGTTTTTTAACTAATTTTGTTATCTATCCCTGCAGATTGGACACGATACTAGACCAGGATTGTCAGTCAATTAATGCCAGCTGCCACTGAATTCAATTACACATTGTCTTTTAACTAAATCTGTTATTTATCACTGCAGACTGGACACGATACTGGACCAGGACGAGGCCAGCCCGCGCGCGGTGGACATCAACCGCCTCAAGGACGACTTCTACGTCGACATCCTCGCTAACACCCCCGCCATCGACTCCACCTCCATCATCAGTGAGCATACGTCACATTATACAGGGTGGAATTTTGAAATGCCACCTGAAGGGAAAGTACTCTTAATATTGTAGATAGAAAATTTTACTCAAAGAAAACATTCATTTATTTTTGAAAAGAAATATACTGGGCTCAATTTTCAGATAGGACATATATTGCGAAACCATTTAAATTATTATTTCTGTTTTAGGCAATTCCGGCCACGAGGGAATGGACATATTTGATGATCAAAAGTGAGTACTTACATTATTTACATAAAAAACTTTGCTAGTGTAATTTCCACAACTAACTTTTGCCCGCATAAAAAATAGTTTGTCACAAAAATATCAATATCGTTTTAAATAATAGCCTGTACGTTATTCTGTGTGCTTACTACGAGTTTACGTTAGGTGTGCTCGCTAGCAAGTACTTCAAAAAAATGTATGAAAATTTTATTTCTTGACAGTAGCCGCTAGGGGCGCTGCACAATACGTCATACATTTAATGTCATTTTTTTACGCAGTCGCTTGCGGAACACACTTATCGTTAACTCATGGTAAGCACACTGATGTGAAAACAATAAAACTGTAGTTTCATCAAGTTTCACCAGTTCAGTAGTATTTGCGTGAAAGAGTGACGACATCCTCAAAATCTCACATTAGTAGGATATGATGTTATTTTTGATTGTTGTCGCAGCCCGCCGCGTAACCCGGCCGATGATAAGCTGGCGGCGCTGATAGCGCAGCGCGAGGCGCTCGTGGCACAGCGGAGCCCCGACGAGGCCGCGCTGCAAGCGCTCAACTCAGACATCCGCGCCATGCTGCTCAACTGCGCCACGTGACGCCGCTGACAAACTGTACACTACTGAAGGGGTTACCTACACCATATTATCGAAATACAAATGATCGAAAATCAAAATATCGAACGATCAAAATATCGAACGTTCAGAATATCGAATTTACAAATGATCGAACGATCAAAACATCGAATGATTAAAATATCGAAAGTTGATCTTACGTTGCATAGTATAATAGAAAGGAGGTAAGGGTTCCTTGTTGACTATGGTACCCAAAAGTGGGAAATAAAAAAAATGTGTTTAAGAATTTGTTTTATTTACATTAATCGTATGACATTTAATTAAAACCTCCATATTGATTTTTCGATATTTTAATCATTCGATATTTTGATCGTTCGATGAAACGTGTTCAGGGCCGGATTAACCATCTCGGGGCCCCTAGGCACAGCTCGTTTCGGGCCCCCCTTTTTTTAGTCGCAGAGGAAATGCTTTGCGCACCATCACCACTGCCGGGGGACAAGGTGGTATGTGGGACTCCCGGCGCCCTAAAAAGGGAAAAGGACGGGGTATACCCACTAAAACCTCCGCGGCGTTCCGTCGTAGGCCGAGTGGGGGTGCGCGAGTATCCGGCCGTAGCCTTAGACTTCCGAGACACCACGCTACAGCGACAGCTCGCCTACATGGCGGACCCTACACGCCCCCCTTGTGGGGGTCCGACGGAAATGCCCAAAACGCCAAGCCGTTCCCGTCAGACGAAGGTGACAAGGGTGCCCCCGCACCCCCGGCCTGCTGGCCGCCACCTGGGGGCAGAGTAGAACGGTCGTACAACCGCCTTCTCCACCCCCTTCTCCGCCTGCGGAGCGATGAGACGAGAGGATCGTTCTCCCGCTCGCGCTCTACTGTCTCCTTCTGAAGGATGACCTTCTCGCAAATGGAGGCGATCGCCTTCCAGCATCCTTCACTTCCCAGCATGGCGATGACTAGGCTCGCAAGCGAAAGATCCCGGCCCACGACCACAGTGGGGACACGGCGCTGCTCCTCCCAGCCTGTGCAGACCGCGAGGGTGTGCTGCACCGTGTCATCCGCCGCGCCGCATTTGTTGCACACGGGGATTCCTCTCGCCCGATTCTATGCAGGTACGAACCGAAGCCATGCCCGGTCAGCACCTGCGCCAGACGGAACCTGAGGAACCCGTGCGGTCGTTCCAACCATTGGTCCAGAACAGGACCAATGGCGTCCAGAGTGCGGCAGACAAACTGCGCGCGAGTCATGTCTTCGTGACGGTGCCACACCGCTCCGGGCGCTTTCCACGCGCCTTCTGGTCTGCCATCCAGTGATAGATGACAGACAAGACCCCAGCTTCTAGCTCCCAAGTGAGTGCCCTACCGTGCGGTAGGTCCTTGCGACCCTCTGCGCTATGGCCCGCTGGGGTCTGCGCAGAAGGGCAGCATTCTCCCTCTTGTTGAGTGCGTCCACCGAGACTGGGGCGCCATACAGCGCCATGCTACTCAGAACGCAGGCATAAAGTCGACGGCACCTCGTTTGTGGCCCTCCCAAATTCGGGAGGAGCCAACTCAGTGCGCCGGCTGCCTTGAGGAGGCGTGGCGCTAGCCCGTTTAAGTGCGGGCTAAAATGCCACCTCCCGTAAAGCGTGAGGCCCAGATATCTCATCTGGCCCTTGAGGCCTCAGCCTCGAACTTAGCGGGCAGCGGAGCGGGAGCGGCGGCGGCGCTGGAGCGGGGCGGGCAACGCAGACCCGTTCTCGAAACAAGCGGGTAGCTCGCGCGGCGCTTTAGCGGCGAAGTGTTGTGTTCGGGGTTGTGTTGTAGAGATATTTGTTTTTATTCGCAAACGAAATGTCTGAACAACGGCGACAATTTTATTTCGATTCAAATTTATTCCTAACGCTCGATTTATTGTGGGCAAAAGAAGGAGTGCGCTGCCCGCTCGTTGCCCGCTCCCTCGCCGCTGCCCGCTCGTTGCCCGCTCCGGCGCCGCTGCCGCGCCGCTGTTTTCGAGAACCGGTCTATTTGATTTTACGCATAAGATCCTGCCGCTCCCGCGCCGCCCGCCGCCGCCGCCGCCCCGCTGCCCGCTAAGTTCGAGGCTGAGGCCTGACGTCAATCCTATAACGTCCTCAACGCGTCAGGAAGGGGCGCGCTGGCGAAAGAAGAGGGCCTCAAGTCTTCTCCAGCGCGACTTTCAGGCCAAGGCGTCGTATTCTACGAGCAACTAATATGCCGCCCGCCAACGCCAGCCATGCCGCGGCCCCAAATGTCTTCCCCGGGCAGTAACCAGAGTGTCATCCGCATAGCATAATATGACACTAATGCCCGCGAGAAGGACGCCCCGGAGGAGCCAGTTGAAGCCTAGGTTCCACAAGAGGGGACCAAGCACCGAACCCTGCGGAATCCTGCTGGCTACACCGCGCCGTTTGAGCTGGCCGTCTCTGTTAACATACAGGACTTCGCGGTCCCGTAAGTAATCGGCCAGCAGCGCTCGAAGGTACTGAGGCACTCTGTGATGTTGAAGTGCCTAGAGTATGGTGGAATGAGGGATGGTATTGAAAGCGTTGGCTATATCGAATGATACAGCCAACACACCCTCAGCCCTCTCCCTAGCCTCCGCAGTGAGGCTTTTTAGCCTGTGAAGGGCGTCGACCGTCGACCTGTCATGTAAACCAAAGCAGTAATGCAAACGTCACGAAGATGAATTAGGTTCCACAATATCGAAAAATGACGATTGAATGTGTAAACCAAAATAAGGCGAAGTTTTGAGGTGGTTTGAGTTTTGTTGCATAAAAATAATCTTTTAACATCTTTTTTTTTTTTTCATTTTTTTATCGGGAGTGCTGGGCCCCTGGTCATAGTGGGCCCCTGGCCATAGTGGGCCCCTAGGCACTGGCCTAAAGTGCCTTATGGATAATACGGCACTGAACGTGTTCGATATTTTGATTTTCGATAATTTGTAATTCGATATGGTGTAGGTAACCCCTACTAAAGCCAGGTCTCTGGAGCACGTAGAATTTTGTCCAATGACCCCAAGCTACCCATCCTTATCGCTCGCGTAATTATGTTGCTGTTGCGCTCGCACACTCACTGCGGGCGCCCGTCGCACAGTCGCGACAGCAATATATTACGCGCGAGCGATAAGGATGGGTAGCTTGGGGTCATTGGACAAAATTCTACGTGCTCGGCGACCAGACTATAGGTGCTCACCTCTCAAATAGGCCAAATTCTCTTTTATTCATAAGTTCTCCGACTCCGCCATGTCTCTACACTCTCGATTGACGAAACCAGTCCCTTAAACACGGACCATGGTAATTTTTGATGCTGTTTCCATTATCAAAAAAGAATAATAATTAGCGGTGCGGGTGGGGGTGACACGTGAAATATCAAAGCTGTCACGGTATACCTAGCTATGGACTTCATCAGGGCTAAAATGATGGTCACCACTAAATGTGGTCTAAACTTCAAGCTGTGTATGTTAGTGATCAACCATACTGTGTCTGCCAGCCAATTGTTTGCTTCCATGCTGAAGTTGAGCAGGGAAAAGGGTAGTAATGTTATTTACCTAGCCATTGTTGATGCCACTCGATTTAGCTAGTTTTTTTACGACATCTACGATGTACGTGTACACCGAGTGACATAGTAATACAATGTTCATTGGTTCCTAAAAATCGTTTATCAATTCAAATCAACGGAATCTCAAATATAATAAACTTACTATTTGACATGGATTGTCTTGAATGTTATGCTAATGACAATTTAGAAGTTAGTCATTCAATATTATTATTATTATGTTGTATAATTTAATTTGTTAATTGCTCATTAGTTGTACATTACATTGTTATATTGGTAATTATTATAATGTTGCAATGCAACATGATGACAAAATGAAAGAATGGCTCCAATTATTGTTATAAACAATTATTTTTGTGATAATTTTTACTTGTATTATACTTTTGTTATTTAATAAATTCTGTTAAATAATGTAACTATACTTGTTTTCTTTCACACCAGAAAGTATTCTAATAAGGGAGTACAACATTTTAAACTGCAATAGTTCAATTTACCTAGGTCACACACATTCTTTAGACCAATATCTATATATATAAAAGAAAGTCGTGTTAGTTACTTCGCTTATAACTGAAGAACGGCTGAACCGATTTAGCTGAAAATTGTCAGGGAGGTAGTTTAGAGCCAGGAGAAGGACATAGGATACT